GGCAAAATAAGTGTGTGTGTGTGTGGGGGGGTTTAACACTCTCCCCTTTAAGCTAAACCCAATGTTCTCATCTGGCACTAGGAGTAAAAAAATATTTGTTCCGTTAAAAATTTTTGAGGCTGCTTATCCAGCGTTGGGATTGTGAGACAGGACTGGGGCTCTCTCGGTGCCCCGCCTCCGTGAGCCGGCCCTCGAGGGAGGGAGGGACTCCGCAGCACCACCACGAAGCTGGTGGTCCTACAGGGGACTCCCAACATCATCCACGCAGGGGCTGTCTGGCCAGGAGCCCCTCAGGGTTCCATGGCCTCCATCGTGGTGCGGGACGAGTGGGCTGCTCTCCAGGCCTCCCTCCTCCCCTCCACCCTGTTATCTGTCCGGTGTGTCCTTGAAGGCTTTACTCTGCGGGCTCCTGGCTTCCTGCTGGGAATAACAGCCGTTGCTTCTGCCCGCGTCTCCAGGGGCTTGCCTGCCTACCGGCTTTACTGCATCAGGGGATCACGTGTGAATGAAGGGGGTCTATATCTGAAGGTTCAGCTCGTTTGCCCGCCATTCCTGACGCAAGAGTTCATGGTGCCCTGAGTACCAGTCCTCAATGAACTGAAATTTCTGAAGGAACGTTGTTGAGTGTCTTGGCTGGGAACCCTGACACAACCATAGGACGGCCTCAAGCAACAGCAGGTCCCGCACCGTGTGTGGGTCACACTTCAATTGGGTAGTTTGCGTGGGGGGGGGGGAGAGATGATGATGGTGGAGGCACTGAGGATGGTTCCCTTGTCACAGACAGATCTCTATCTGCTTATGTTTAGACGTAAAGGGACACCAAAAATCTACAGTGGGGGGGGAATCTATTAAAGTGATCCACCCCTGGATCCAGGTGAATCCCAATGCCTTTTGATGAGTCTAGGGGTTTTTCTTGTTGATAAGGTCAGCATTCTTGTCAATGCCCTGGTTGAGGGGTGACATGATCGAGGTTTATAAAACAGCCCATCCAGTCCAACACTCTGTGTCACACAGTGGCCAGAAATACCAGGTGCCCTCAGGAGGTCCAGCAGTGAGGCTCTCCCACTGCATGGGATAGAGCAGGTCGAGAAAGAAGTACTTTTCTCCCTTCCTCACAATACAAGAACTCCTTGTGGGCACTCAGTGAAATTGCTGAGCGGTCGGGTTAGAACAGACACAAGGAAGTCCTTCTTCCCCCAAAGAGTGATTAACACTTGGAATTCACTGCCACAGGAGGTGGTGGCAGCTACAAGCATGGACGGCTTCAAAAGGGAATTAGATAAGCATATGGAGCAGAGGCCCATCAGTGGCTATTAGCCACAAGGTCTAGATAGGAACTCTCAGTCTGGGGCAAGTGATGCTCTGTCTTCTTGGTGCTGGGGGGGGGGGGGCAACAGTCAGTCCCCGGAAACAGTTCTGAGATGAATGCAAGCTAAGAAACTGAAGTTTAATTTCGACAAGATGGAAGTTGTGCTGTGGGTGGGCTGACCCAGAATTTAAGGTGTCTCTTCCCCTGGGCAGGGCTGCATTCCCACTGAAGGAACAGGTCCACAGGTTAGCATTGCTGCTGGACCTGAGACTACTGCTGGATAAACAAGTAGAGGCACTAACCAGGAGTGCCTTTTACCAACTTCAACTGGTTTATCAGATGAAGCCACATATAGACTAGATTACTGCAAAGAGCTCTACATGGGGCTGCCCTTGAAAACGGTTTCAAAGCCCTATATGGCAGAGCCAAGCATACCTAGGCTAGCCCCATATGGATCCTATGTAGCCAGCGTGGCCATCTCCTGAGGCCCTGCTTCGGATGCCACCACTTTCGGAGGTTAAATGGGCAGCAACTCATGAGAGGAACTTCTCTGATACGGGGCCAAAATTATGCAATCCCCTCCCCAGCAAGAGTCATCCATCACTTTCTTCTGCCCGCGTACAAAGGTTTTTTTGCCTGGTATTCATTCAACGATGCACACGCACACCTGTCTTACGTTTTAATTGCTGCCTTTGTATTTTATAGATATATTTCAGCACTGGTTTTACCTGGATAGTAGTTTTACAATGTTTTGTTTTTTACTGTTAGCTGCCTTGGTGGGCCCTGATTGGGCTGAAAGCCAGGGATATAAGCTTTGTACATTAATCAGATTCTTATCTTGGTTTTCACTGCAATGGATCAGAGTGGCGTAAAGAGCAACAACTATAAAACATGACTATGTAACACTGAAATAATTCATGCCATCAGAATAAAACTCAGCAAAAACAGCCATATGAAACGGCATGATTGCTTACAGCATCACAAAGAGGACACAGAGGGTAATCAAACTGAAAGCTCTCCTAAAAAACAACCTCCACCAGGTTACAAAACAGACGGAGGTGGGTCGCCGTGTGGGTCTGAAGCAACAGAACAAAGTCTGAGTCCAGCAGGGGCGCCTTTAAGACCAACAAACTTTAATTCTGGGTAGAAGCTCGCAGGTGCAGGCAGACTTCGTGCACACAAAAGCTTGTGCCCAGCATTAAACTTTGTTGTTCTTAAAGGTGCCTGACTGGACTCAAACTTTGTCCTTCAGGTTACCGAAATCATCCGTGCCCAATGTACCTCGTTGCCAACCACTGAGAAGGTGCTGTCCTGTGCAATCACAAGCGGAACCTGCCAGGCTGCTGTCCAGACAACTGCTTCTAGAGAACGGAAGGGCCCCTAGATGCTGCAGAGGTCGTGCCCCCCCCCAAGCAATCAGAAGAAGAAGAAGCGAAGAGATTGGATTTATGCCCCAGCCCTTCATTACCCAAAGGTGTCTCAAAGCGGCTTACCCCTTCCCCTCCCCACAACAGACACCCAGAGAGGTAGGTGGGGCTGAGGGAGCTCTTTTTTGTGAGAGAACAGCTCTTTCAAGGACAGCTCTGACAGAACTATGGCTTGCCCGAGGTCATTCAGCAGCTGCATGTGGAGGAGTGGGGAATCAAACCCGGTTTTCCCAGATTAGAGTCCGTACAGTTAACCACTACGTCCCTAATCCGTCTGCCCAGGTTGGAAACCGAAACCCTTAATCCTATAGAAGGCTGCTTAAAGGAAACAAAAAAACAAAGTCTGAGTCCAGTGGCACCTTAAAATCAACCAAGTTTAATTCTGGGTATAAGTTTTTGTGTGCACAAAGTCTGCATGCACACGAAAGTTTAAACCCAGAGTTAAACTTTGTTGAGCTTAAAGGTGCCACTGGACTCAAACTCTGTTCTGTAGCTTCAGACCAACACGGCGACACCACCACACACACACACACACACACACACACACATACCCCTTAAACGAAACAAGGGCCAGACTCCCCCAGGGCCTTCATCCTATCGATGTAAGAACTGAAGGCTCTTTTTGCATCTGAACAGCGCTGCCATTCTCCTTCCCGGGGATTAGGACAGAAAGAAGACAAAACAGCCTCCTCTGACTGGTGAAAGAGCTGACCTTGGAGCTGACCTTGGGAATGAATGCCTGGTCTCTCCTCAGCACCATCTAATCACCCACAGACAGAGGGTGCAACTTCTGGAAACACTGCAGGAGGGAAAGTACATCCACCACCAGGAAGACAGTTGCAAACAGGAGGCCCTTCAGGAGGCGCCTGGGAAAGCGCCTTCGGCACCATACTGCAGTTCCACGTGGGGAACGTATGCTCCCACGGGGGGGGGGGGGGGGCGTAAAAGAGCTGCACCCCAAGGACCCTTCTGACAGGAGGGGGTGAGAAATACCCCAACCCCCTTCTTGGCTCCTGCCACAGTCGAGAGGGCAGCCACCTGGCGCTTGGAGGAGCCACTGCGCTCAAGCCCTCATGGAAACCCGGAGTTCTAAGACCACGGTGCTTGGACGCGTGCAGAGTGTTTCCTAGGCCCTCATACAGAAGTTGCTGGGGAACGGCTGCTCAGCCTCAGGGAATCCGTCCCAAGAGGACCGTGTCCAGAGGAGCCTTATGCACACCACCGTTCCAGCTACCGCGCCCTGCCTTTCCCTCTCCCCCAATGACACAGGGGGCCCAAGGGCACCAGGCAGGCTCCCATGGCTAGCAGTGGGTACTCAGGAACGATGGCCTCAGCTGCCCACGTCACTTCCGCACTCTCGGTCCCCGAGTCACAGCAGTCAGCCGTTCCCCCAGACCCACGAGGATCCATCAGTCTCTACGTGAAGACCACCTGGGTCCACCACCACAAATACCACAGAAGGTGGCCCAAACCACTCCCTAGGGAGTGGGGAGAAACATGAGGAGGGAGATGGAGGGCTGCCACAGGAGGGAACAATTAGGCCCCCACTCGTGCACGTGGATCTTTCCCATGGGATGAGATCAGAAGGAAAAACAGCACTATGTTGCGGTCCCCTGAAGGTCACCTTTTTATGCTCAAACACGAGAATCACAGAATCATAGAGTGGGAAGGGGTCACAGAGACCATCTAGTCCAGCCCCCTGCCCAATGCAGGACCAGCCTAGAGCATCCCTGACAAATATCCGTCCAGCCTCTTCTTGAAAGCTGCCAGTGAAGGGGAGCCAACCACCTCCCCAGGCAGCTGATTCCACCTTTGAACCACTCTGACCGTGAAAACGTTTTTCCTAATATCCAGCCGATACCTTTCTGCATGTCATTTAAACCCGTTGCTTTGGGTCCTCTCCTCTGCTGCCAACTGGAACGGCTCCTTGCCCTCCTCTAAATGACAGCCTTTCAGATGTTTAAAGAGAGCAATCATGTCCCCCCCTCAGTCTCCTCTTCTCCAAACTACACATTCCCAAGTAGTCCCTCGGCCTTTCCTCGCAGGGCTCAGGCTCCAGACCCCTGATCCTCCTCCTCGCTCTCTTCTGCAGCCTCTCGATTTTGCCCACACCCTTTCTGAAGTGAGGCCTCCAGACCTGCACACAGGAGGACTCCAGGTGCGGCCTGACCAAGGCAGTCTATACAGAGGGGCTATGACCTCCTGCACTTTCGGTGCTATTTTCCATATCCAAAATGGTACTGCAACAACAAATATTTCCCTACCTTGACTGGTGAAATATGAGCGTGAGAAACAAATCCATGGACATTCTCCACTTGGGAAAGGCTCTTCTCGGACACGTGAACCAGCTCTGGGACAGTCACCTCACCGGACACTTGGCGACGGCTGTGCTCCAACGAGGAAGGAGGGTCCTCATCCTGGGAGTGATATTTCTGTGAAAATTCCCAGAGAGAAAGAGCTCACAAAACGGACCTCAAGAACTCGGGATGCTTGCCCGGGGAAGCAGAGAGGAGCAGGCCGCTAGCTGGCTCGCCTATCCAGCAGCGACAGGCCGGCCACCCGATCCCAGGCCGGCCGCCGTGGAGTGCGAAGACACTGAATCCCACCGCCTGGCATGGTCACTCACACAAGGAAGGACAGATCCCGCCCCCTGGCTTTGCCAACTCCTGGCAAAAATGATGCCCTCTGATTGGATGCCGGCTTCCTACACGGTCTTAGAAGACACTCTCTTATAAATCACATCATTCATACGTGCACCCACACAAAGACCACGCAGCAAAGGCATGTCCCAGTTTCTTATTTAAAAGAGGGAGGGTGATGTCATTTTACTTGCTTCTGGGGACATTAACAATTACTCAATCAACCCTAAGTAGCTGTGGTGAATCTGAGAATTCAGCATTAAAAGAAAGCAACAACTGCACAAATAAATTCAAGGAAATCAGGCAATAGGTTTAGGATAGATAAAAGGAAATACTACTTTACTCAGAGAATCATTAAAATGCGGAATTTGCTGCCAGAGGGTGTAGAGATGGCCACGGGAATCAGCAGCTTTAAAGGAGAATTAAATAGATTCATGGAGGATAAGTCTATCAGTGGCTACCAGCCATGGTGGCTGAGGGGAACCTCCACATTCAGAGGCACTAAGCCTCCAGGTCCCAGAGCCAGGGGGCAGCATCAGGGGAAGGACTCGGCCTCTCTGCTCTGTTGTTGGCCCTCCGGAGGAACTTGCTGGCCCCTGTGTGAGACGGGAGGCTGGACTAGATGGGACTATTGGAGAGAGCCAGTTTGGTATAGTGGTTAAGTGTGCAGACGCTAATCTGGGAGAACCGGGTTTGATTCCCCCCTCCTCCTCCACTCGCACCTGGCTGGCGTGCCCCTGGGCAAGCCATAGTTCTGTCAGAGAGCTGTCCTTGAAAAAGAGCAGTTTCTGTCAAGAGCTCTCTCAGACCCCCCCCCCTCGCAGGGTGTCTGTCTGTTGTGGGGAGCGGAAGGGAAAGGAGTTTGTCAGCTGCTCTGAGACACCTTTGGGTAGTGAAGGACCATGGGGTATAGATCCAATCTCTTCTTCTTCTGATCCAGCAGGGCTCTTCTTATGTTATTAAGCTAAAAGCCCACCAACATTCTTAAGAACATAAGAAGATCTCTGCTAGATCAGACCAATAGTCCCATCTAGCCCAACGTCCTGACTCAGACAGCAGCCATCCAGTGCTTCTGGACGGCCTGCCACAGCCCACAGAGGCCGAGGCCTTCCCCTAATGTTGCCTCCTGCCACTGGGATTCAGAGATTTGCTGCTTCTGATTGTGAAGGTTCCCTAAGTCACCGTGACTAGTAGCCACTGATGGATGCAAAACACTGATGGGACTGTAGACACGCGCCCAGCCGAGAGAAGCCTCGCCCTGAAGCAGTGTGCCAGCCAGACATGGACCCGTGGACCTACCCGAAGCCCTTCGCCCCTGCCTCCCTGACACCAGAAGCACACAGCAGCCCTTCCCTATGAAGAAGCCATGCTTCTTCACACACGAAGCCGGAGAGTTCCTGCAAAGGACTCCATAGAAGAACTACTCCTCCAGCGCGCAGGCACCCTTCCCCCCCCTTCTCCTCGTCTCACCAAGGACTGCAGGGACTCATCCTCAAGCTGAACAACAGAACTTGGCCGTGGTGGGATTAAGAGAGCTGCCGAACACACCCACCGCCCATCAAGGTAGCACAGCTGTAGATCATCCGATCGTTGACTCCAAGGGCTGGCCAGGCACCTGAAACGACTGTCTTTTCTTTTCCTTGGTCTTACACTATCCACTCTAAGAGGTGTCACTATTAGTAGACATTATATCAATCGCCCAGCACTTAAGTCCATTCTCTTGACCCATTAAGGGACTGGCATTTTCTAGCATCTTCCTGGGAACTACGAGTCGAGCCGTGGTGGCTCACGCCCCAAGCCCCTCATAGGGCATGTAAGAAGAGCATCTGCCCATTGCGCGCTCTCTCTCTCTCTCTCCCTACCTGCCTACCTGACCCCACCCTACCTTGCTGACTCCATTCGTAGCGCTGTCTGGGATCTACCACACGAACTGCTGGTCAACACACAACCAACCCTTTCCCTAGTATTTCCCCTATTTTCGCTGCAGGGTCACCTTGTCGCGTCAGACAAGTATCACCCCAACCGACGAAACCTTCCTGCTAATGCAACTGTCGCTCTACCTTTCTTCCTAAATTCTTAGTTCTGTATCGCTTGAGTTTGTGACTGTTTTATTTTTACACTGTGCATGAGAATTGTTAGTAGCCAAGTGTGGGGAACACAATTCAGGTTAACCACAACTTTAACTGGGAATTTAACTAACTGAAACCCAGCTACACACCAGGACTGTGCCAATGTGGATGGTCTTACAGGACGGACATATACCACCTATGCTGCAGGAGGTGCCTCAGGAGACGCAGCATTCACAGACCGGGCAACGGAGCGCTAGAATCTTCCTGGGCACACACTGCTGCAGCTGTTAGGGTCACTGTTCTCCCTCCACAAACAAACGCTGAAGGAAAATGCTGAAGGACGAGTTCTTCACAAGATTAAGCATCCAATCACATCCCACTTTGGGTTTTCTAACCCACTGTAGTTGGTAACACAGTCCAGCATAACCCACCATGTGGAGATGTTAACTGGTTCCTCTGGTCATGTTGTCCTGAATCACTCTGTCATTCCTGTTCTTACGCATCACGCTAAGGGCCTGCTGCCGGTTGGCTGTTCTGATGTTTACTTTCTAAAACAAGCAGGACTCCTGTTAACCCTTCCTTACAGACCATGCTTATCTCTCTCTAACTGACCCCCGGAGGCTGGAACCTGCGACCCTCCTATCCTTCCTTAATTGTAACAACTATCCAGATTTACTGAATGCCCAAACCTTTTTCTCCCTTTAATTCTAGTTTTTAATGCTAATGTAGCATTTTTGCATTTGCATCTGCAGAAGTGAGGCATGACTCACAAAAGAGGATCCTGAAATAAACTTGGGCTAGTCTTCCCAGTGCCAGTTAATTCCTGTTCCACTTGGGTGAATCAGAGATAAGAGCCTCTGAAATCCACATTTCCAAAGTAGCCTCCTGGGCAGGACTGCCACAGAAATCTACCACGTTATGCCCCCCCCCCGCATGTTTAAACTGATCCACTCCAACTTGGTTAAAACTGATTTAGCATCCTGAGAGCCTAACAAGACCACTAGCTCTCAAAGACTAATCAGGATCAAACAAAGCCAAAGACGTATCACCTTGCATACAAATCTATTTTAAAATGAAAGCTCCTAAATTAAATCCAGAAATATTACTGTTGTCTTGTTGAGTGTCCTCTGCTGGAACAAAAAGCCTTTTGAGAGGCGGCCACTTATCACTACTTAAGTGCGCATACAGTGAAGGTTCCTTGCTCCAGAGTGCTCCACTACCTGCGTATCAACAGTGAATTTCACCCCATCTAGAGAGAGCCTCCTGGAGCTTTTCACAATCTGCACTGGTTTTCACTGTCTTGAGAGATCTGGTATCCCCTGCAAACTTATCCAGTGTCTTCCTCACCCCCAAGTCCACATCATTTATGGAAAAAATTAAAACAAAACCAAAGGAAGATCAGGGCTCTCAGAACCAGTGTTCCCTCTAAGGTGAGTTAGTGTGAGCTACCTCACAGTTTTTTAGCCTCTGGCTCACACATTTTTGTCTTTGCTCAGGAAGGATGGGGCTCCAGAGCAAACTGATTGATGCAGTAGCCAAACAGCTCGCTCACAACTTCGATGCCAGTAGTAGTAGCTCACGAAGTAGAATTTTTGCTCACAAGAGGACTCCCCAGCTGAGAGGGAGCCTTGCTCAGAACCTCCCTGCACACCCAATGGAGGCAGGCAGGACAAGAACTGAGGGTGAAGGGCACCACCAGGAGTGGAAACAAAGACGGCAGCTACTTCCTTGCCTCCAAAAGGATGGTGATGGGAAAGGTGGTACCCAATATTCAAAATTACTCCCTCAGCTCCAAAAGTGAATCATTACTTCTGGGGTACATGTTGAACAGCACCAATGAACGACAAACACACTGACTCAGGGAAGATGGCAAAACCTGATATGGGGGGGGGGGGGGAGAGAAAGCGGGGAGAGCCAGTGTTCAAACAATACTGCCCAAAAGCCTATGAGTGCAAGGAAGAACCTACGCAGTGCTGTGGCTGAGGCTTGAGCTGTGTCTGCAGAGACCGACCTGGACAAGCAACATCCTCTTGGGCCCCTACGCTCCGCCTCGAGGGGAAAAGCTCCAGGGGCTCTTCGGAGTCTGTCAGTCCAAGCATACCCCACCACCACCACCACCACCACCACGTGCTTCGTGATCAGCATTCTGGGAACCTGCCAGTGAGGCACACAGCAAAAGGCATACGTGCAGCCCCCCCACTTCTCACTTCTGAGGCAGCGCAGAGGCCGCCTTCTGCCTTGGAAACAAGCAGTGGGGGGGGGGACAGGAGCTGCAGGGCGGATGGAGAGCCTGAACTGATCCCCCACCACCACCTCCAAACGTCCAGGAGGGACTCCAGAGTGTCCTCACCTTCTGCCTCCCACCCATGGAAATGAGAGGATGAAGGACTTTCCTCCCTCCACACCTACGACGGAGAGGGGAGTGCGTGTTTAGCCTCGGCCCCGGCCTGGGGGAACAGGCTCCCATTTGAGACCAGGGCCCTGCTGCGGGGCCAAGTGCCGCCAGGCCTCTGGCTGAGGCAACAGATGTCCATTAGGTCTGGGCTAGGGGTGGGTTTCAGGGATCAGACCTCCACCGAATGAGTTCTCCACCACATCGTTGTCTGCAGGCTGATTATTCTACCATCTGATGCCCCAAACAAGACTGTTTCCAGATTGTTTTAATTCTGCTGCTGTAACTATTCTAAGCCTGTTTATTGTATATTACAGTAACTAACATTTGCTGAGTCGACTTGTGTAACCTGGGAAATTATACCGCTGATGGACCCAGGAGGGGGAGGAGGAGGAATACGGGTCACACATGACTCACGTTCCCTCCCCTAACGCTGTCACACGTGCTCCCTTTAACGCACAGGTGAACCATCTGGCTCTCCATTATGATGTTAACATCAGACATCCCAAGTTAACAGGATTGCCTCCTCTCCCTTCTAACAGAAGCACACTCTGCCTGGCTGCTCCAAACTCTTCTCCGTGACTGTGGAAGCTCTGTGCTCCTGCCCTACACCTGCACGGTGCCTCTCTCACAGAAGGACTCTGTGTGTGTGTGGCCCTTTGTTCAACCTGCAACACAGCAAGGGGGTACAAATCCAAATGCTTCTGCTTTAAGACCCAAGAACAGGGCCAAAATAACCGGCTCAAGCCACCAGCAGAGGGTTAACAGGTAACAAAAATAAACACGTCACTCTTAAAAAGGTAAGCAGGGACTCACACAAGTACACAGAACATCAATGGGATGCTCGGAACAAAAGGCAGGTTGACCTGGCAACAGGTGAATGGTTTGGGGAAGGCCCCGGATAAGCCACTGCACCTTCCGTGATCACCCAAATAACTAACCTACCATCCAGCCCAGCAGCCTGTAAGCCTCCCTGGGCACCACCAAGCTCATTTGATCGCCTCTGCAGTACACAGCACGATGAGGGCACTGAGCAGGCATGGGACGGAGGCAGAAGGCCGAGGCCTTGCCCTACCCAACCACTGCTAGTGGTGGCGCACATTAGGCAGCATAACACTTCACAACCATCTTGGCATGTTTCATGGGAATTTCTATCAGACATACCCATGTCATCATGGAAGTCCCGATTTTACCTGATGTGCCTCATCTGCATTTGTGGGCTCCACATTCTGACCCACATGAGTGGCAAGTGGAGCTGCAAGGCAAGCGTGACCCTCCAAAATCGCCCAGCAGTCAACAAGTGTAGCTGCTGCACATCAGCCCAGAAAGGCTACTGTGGCCTTGGCGCCCCACCCTCCCCTCCTCACACACGCTTAGCCCACCCTCACAGGGTGGTTGTGAGGAGGACAAAACGGAGGAGAGGATGACAATGTGTAAGCTACTCCGGGGGGGGGGGGGTTCCCCCCACTGGAGAGAGAGAGAAGGAGGTTATAAATCGATAAATTATTTTGTCTATTTGATTTACACCCCACCCTCCCCGTGGAAGCAGGCTCAGGGCGGCTGAATAAATAAATAAATCTAGCCGACTCCCCAAACCCTGCAGCAAAGAGGTTTCTGCCATACGCATACCCAAAAGACGCACAGACGATTCTACACCGTAATAAATCCGAAATCCAATATAGCCTTGCAAAAACATTCACCCCTCCTAATGGCCCATCCGCATTTTTGCTGACCTGCCTGTCCAGACATACCTGGCCGCTCTCTCACGCCCCTTCCCTCCTTAAAAAAAAGTGCCTTTCATTTCAAACAATAAGGGGCAGGCTCTGTGTAGTCGGGATTAGAGATTTTTAAGGAGAAAAGGAGTGGGGAAAGCGGCTTGTTTTCACTTTGAAGTAACTTCAAAAGAACTTTTCTTTCTTCTTCTCCCTCAAAAAAAATAAATAAATGCAAAAGTCCAAACTAACGTGACTGACATTTTAACAACTGCTCCCAGCAGGGTGAACATCCTTTTCCCCCTCCCAGAGGCTTGACAAATCCACCTGCAGAACCTGTTTGCAATCCAAAATCACACACAGAAATCAAACCTCTGATCACATGCACAGTGATCTCCTAGATCACAAGTAACTACAAGCCGCCATCTGCTGCCCCAGCAGAGTTTAATAAACACATCACATTAAAAAAAAATTGAAAGAAAGCATGGATAGTATTTGTCTAAATGGAAAGTACAATATTTAAGAGTTTAACTGACAAAAAACAATACTATGCAAAGAACTTATAAACAGAAATGGGAAACCTTGGAACACTTTCAGGAAAAAAGTGTTCTCACTTATTCCCTGGATGTTTTTTGATTTTTCTAATTTATTTGTTACTTGTATGCTAACTCGCCACCCAATTCAGGATCCCCAAGGCAGTGAGAACATTAAGCAAAACAGAGAAACATTTTAGACATTAAAAAGCATTTAAAATGCAAAAAATATAAAATAAAACATATAAGCACATAAAAACACACAGGAAGCAGGTGGCTAATAGGAGAGCTCACAAGGGAAAGCCAAACACCAACAACCACCACCGGTGGGAGAGCACCAATGGAGGGAGCAAAAAGGACCCGCTGCCCCCCCACCCCGGGGGAGGAGATCCAAAGTTCTGGTGTCACAACCCAGAAGGCCCTCCATTTCTCAGTTACGACGGAAAAAACTGGAATGCATCCGAAGACAAGACTTTAACTACTCAAGAGGTGCAGCACGAAGAACTGTATCTACAAGATTACATAACTGTAATCACTAGAGGGGGGGGAGAGGGGGGAGGGGCATGGAGGGGAGAGAGTAAAGAAAAGGGGTGGCGTGAGGGAGGGAG